GCGATCACACCACCACGTTGTACGATCGCTCCATGAAAGATTTCTCCTCAAATAGGCAGGATAGGTAGGGGTGATAAATGGAACGAGCGGCTCGTCGACTCGCGAAAACAGAGCTCATGGACGGCTCGAGCTCGTAAAAACATAAGTTGAGCGTGCAGGTTCGGTGGGTGATCGCATAAAAAAGAACTGCGAGCTCGTTTGGAACGAGCCCGTGGGCTCGTGTGAAATGTGATCGAAACGGTCACTTTATCAAAGTCAGTGACCGTTTCAGTTCCCCATTTTTTTTCTTTCTTTTGACCGTTCAGTCCTTATATATTTTTTTCTTCTTCTATAAATAGTGGCATTTAATCACAAATTTTTTTACAATTCTCTCAACTCTCAATTATCTTTCTCTCAACTTTCTTGTTTTGTGTTGATAACTTGCAATTTTTATATACAATTTATACAATATCCAATTCTCATTTCTCAGTTCTCACTATATTTATTGAAATTTCATCCAATTTTCATTTCTCACTACATTTATAGAATTATTCTTCTACTAGTTATTACTTATTACAACTAAACAAATGGATTCACGCTCATTTGTTGAAAACTTGTTCGATGTGAAAGGAAACGAATCGCCTATGACACTGCAAAGTCAATTTCAGAATCAATTTGAAGATCTAAATGACGTACCCCTACCTAAAAATATTCTAGATTTGGATCTTCATCATCATGTAAGCAGCAATCCAAATTATCCAATTACTTTGAATGATATTGACGTTCCCGAAGCGGACATGATCAGCAAGAAGAGATTGAATTAAACATTCCTGATATGAGGGGAAAGCGAAAGGGGAAAAAACAAGCAAAATGTTGGGATCACTTTAAGTTGATTTCAAAGGGAAAAATCGTCAATGGAGTTCAAGAATCCAAAGCAGTATATAAATATTGCCAACAAAAGATTGACATGGCAAAGAGGAATTGATATCACCCATCTCAACCGTCATTACAAAGTATGTGTGGTCAAACACAGACTTATTTCGGGCTGTCAAACACAATTGCAATTTGATAGTCCAGACACCGGTGGTTCTACTGCACCCCTATCCACATGGGTGTATTTGGAGGAGAAAGCTCGAACCGGAATGGTGAAACTTGTTGCTGGTGCTGAGTTGCCTTTGGCATTAATTGACAACCAACACTACGTTTTGTATGTGAAAGAATATATGTAGCCAAGGTACGTTGGGGTAAGTCGAAACACTCTTCGTTTCGATACAATACAATATTTTACTTCAATAAAACAACAATTAATTATGGATTTGCAAAAATATGAGGGTGTCATATCTTTAACTTCAGATATATGGGAAGAGATTAATAAAATAACATATATAGCTACAATTGCACATTATATAGACCCACTTTGATGCATGCATAAAGAAATTATTGCTTTTAGAATTATTGAGTTTCCTCACAACGCTAATAATATATTTAATGCTATTATTAGTACTGTTAGAGAATATCATTGCGAAGGTAAAATTCGTTCATTTATTTTCGATAATGCTAGCGTTAATAAAGTAGTTGCTGAAAAATTGCAAGGGTACTACAACCTGATTTTGGTGAATATTTGTTTCATATTCGTTGTGTATGTCATATTTTGAATTTAATTGTCTAAGATGGTTTAAAATATATAAATGATGAACTTCAAAATATTAGGAACGCACTAATATATATCACAATCTCTCCAAGTAGAAAATAAGCATTTGAGGATTATTGTGCCGAAATAGGAGTGCAAAATGCTAAAACATTTGTTAGCGACGTAGGTCATAGGTGGAACTCTACTTACTTGTTATTAAAGTCATGTGAAGGTTTTGAACATTTAATAATTGACTTTTATAACAATAGACATGTTAGAAGTGATGACGAGGGTATGTTGACTGAATGTGATTGGTATTTAGCTTTGAAAGTTAAAATTTTTTTTACATCTTTTTATGAAACTACTAAGATTTTATCGAGCGTTTACTATCCCACCGGCTGTATGGTACTTGAACGTCTTTATATAATTGCAAGAACATTTCATAAATACAGAAATAACCCTAATTTTAGTGAAATTATAACTGCTATGGAATTAAAATTTAGAAAATATTGAGAACATTTGCCTATATTATTTCCTTTAGTATGCGTGATGGACCCCGATATAATTTATTGGGAACTAAATATATAATTGATCAAATTTCAAACGCCTTAACATTTGATAAACCTATCACATATAGAAATTTAGAGCAAACATTATGTGAAATGTATGAATTATATGCGAACCGAATGGGTACCAATATTAGTCGGGTACTATCTGCACCTACTCCTTCTACTGAAATTAAAGAAGAAGATTCAGAAATATTTAATTTATTTCAAGGCATTAATTCGTATAGATTTGATTTATCTACAATGTGTTCATCTACTACCACTACCACTGCCATGTCATCACCATTTGTATCTCATTCTTATCATACATCTACAGGCTCAAGCCATAATGCATTGCCTGCTGAATTAATTGATTATTTCAACCAGAATATGCTAACAGATAAAACAATTAAAACAAGTTTAGACGAAATAATTGAATTCTGGCGAAGGTATGAACGACGTTGGCCAGTTATATTTGCGATTGCAAAAGATCTGCTGAGACCTCCGGTTAGCATCGTTGTTTCGGAGTCTGCTTTTAGTGCAGGTAAAAGAGTTTTGAGCGAGGTCAGGTGCCGACTGAAAGAAGATATTTTAGAAGCGTTAATGTGTGTTAAGGATTGGTAGGACACTCATTTTCGACTACAAGATAAATATGTCGAAATTGTATGTCGTCAAGTAAGTGATATTTGATTTAATTATATTGATGAAACTTTTCTTTTCTTATCGTTACTTTTAATTTTTTTTAAAAATTGTACACGCTACAAAAAATTGTTTGTGTACAATTTTTAACTCAGCCTACTGAAAATTGAAGTAGCCGGTCCCAAACCCGGATAAAAGAGGAGGGTTTATATTTTATCTATTTTAAAAATAAAAATAAAACTTTCATTTTTATTTTTTCTATCTCTTTTAGTTAAAAAAAAATTACTTTTTTATTTTTCAAATTACCTATTTGTTCTCAAAAAAAAAAAAAAATGAAAAACAACGTCTACTCGCGAGCCGGGCTCGTGTTGGCCCACGAGCTACCCACAAGCCGCGAGCTCGACTCGTGGCGAGCCCGAGCCGAGCTCGTGCTTTTAGCCGGCTCGGCCCATTGACAACCCTACATGAAGATCTGTATCTGGGAATGCAGTCTTATATGAAGAACAATTTTGCTTCCATGCAGTCTTATATGGACAACAATTTTGCTTCAATGAGGTTGTACATTGATGACAACAGCAAAAATGTGATGAATTGATTAGATGATTTGGAATCAAAACTGGAAGCTATTGCTTGTTCACAGCTGCAGGATGTTCCTGGTTCTAGTAGTGGCCAGAAAGCACTATTTCAACAAATTCAACCGGTGGGAACATCTAGAAAAGAAAAGAAAAATAAGAAAATAAAGTATTCAGGTTATCCGTTAGAAGACTATCTCATGGAAAGAGATACAACAATAAGAGAATGGGTGGTGCGGAATTCATCTGGGTAAGAAATTTGATTGTATTTTATTAATTGTATTACATTGATTTAATATTAATTTAAACTACAATATATAAATATAGTGCATATTGGAAGATTGTAGGAGTTGACTACTTATATGGAAGAGATACAATAAAAACTATAATGGATGCAACCAAAGATATCAATATTGCGGTTAGTGAAAAAATTAAAATATCGTGGGCTCCAACTTTTTTATTCTAACAAATTAGCCCGTCTTTGGTGGGATTAAAATCGAATTTTTAGCAAATTTCAATAAAATTTGATGAAATGTATTGTTGAAAAGTTGTGAATCTTATAAAATATGTGATTAAAATTAGTTGTTGACTTTAATTTAGATTAAAATTCACTACCAAACAGTATGTTCAGTAGTGATTATGAGAATTGATTTTTTGATCGTTAGAAAGGTGAATTCCATTAGTGAGTGAAAAAGTAAAAAATGACGGTTGAAATAATAAAATAATGATCAAAAAATTAATTTTTTTAGGTAAAAAATTTGTTACCAAACGGGGCTTAATAATATATTAGAGTAACGCCTTAGACATAGCAATGTGAATTTACAAATGTGGTGCTCTTTGAGTTGGTTCATGATGGCACATAATTTGTAGTTTGCTTAGTAGACTAATGTGCTTCTGCACGAAGATGACCCTTAAAACACTCGAAAGATGATGTGTTACTTCATGATTTGAAGAAGATAGACAAATAAATTATCAATTAATGAGATTGAAAACGGCATTGTACTTTGTTCAGTGAAGAATTGATAGGAATTGAGATTAAACGTTGAAATTGAATCATGATTAATATGTTATCATATTGGAATGAAATCCCAAATTTCATCTAGTATGAGAGTTATACATTCTAGACATCTGTGAGAGATCTAAATCATGGTGTGGGTCTTGACGTAACTAATCGTGAAGAAACCAAACAAGAAAATCGCCATACATCTAGTGGAAAAAAACCGCTGCTAAAAGGACAATGTTATTTTGTACAACTAGTATTACAACATTAGTTTAAGTAGAGTTACGTGTAATTAAATGAATTATATAAGCCCTATTTGATTTCCGTTCTTCTTAATTTTTTAAAATTCATTTTTAACCACATATTTTTTAATAAAATAATATTACACGCAAAATCAATTTTTTTTAATTTTTAACCATACAATCTCCATCAATCTACTATTCAAAATACATTATTTCCTTCAAAATGGAGATCAAACAAGTGCATAATATAACATTTAATGGAACATATCATATAATGTCACACACATTGTGCTCTAACATGAATGATGTTAGCTAAAAATTATTACAAACATAAATATACATTGCTTAGACCTTACTACAATTTTCCCTCCTTTTATTTGTATATAAATTTCTCGAGGAAAAATTGAAGTGGTATCGAAAACTACAGAGAGTACAAGTGTTAGCTGGCTGTAGGCTGCTTCTATAAACTCTGATTCAACTGCAAAACACCTGGTTCCATTACCAGAAAAAGGAAAGCCATATTCTTCCCGCCATATCTCATTTCTTTACTCATTTTCTTGATTTTTTCTGTAGATTTGAGTGCAGTATTCACTACTGCTGTTTTCTGAAGAAAAAAGAAATCGTCAAACAGGCAAAATGGGCTTCTTTCAGAAAGCCATAGCATCGACTAAACTCAGAGGGTTTATCAATATTCTGGTTTTCTTGCTTTTTTGTTTGAACTTCTCTGTTTCTGGTGAGTACCCATATACTACCCCACCCATCCCCACAAGAAAAAAAAGTGGAAAGTCTTTTTTGTTGATTTTGTTGTTCATTTGCAGCATTATATGGTTGTTCCATAGAACCAAACTTGTAATTTGGTATCCCTTTTGTTTAGCGTAAGTTCTTCTTTTTCACTATTTTATATTTTGTCTAGTGAAGTCTAATAATAATAATTTTGTCTATGTTTTGGTTAATTTGGCATAATAATAAGAATGATATATGTTTGAGCATTTGGAATTTGGGTTCTATTGGGAAACTTTTAGTTTGCTTCAGTTCCCCCCAAAAAAAAAAAAAAAAAGTTTAAAAAAATTTAAGTGCCAATTAAATTTTGTAGCTTCCATAAATTAACTTTTGCTGCATCTTTCAAGTGTGCAGTAGAATAAGGCAGGCCATAAGAGTTTTGAGAACCTTTTGATCCCCTAGTGGACACTTAAATTTATCTATTTATTTGTAAATTTTCATAAATGGGTGGTACCAGAGTATATTTGCCTACAAATTTTTATTTATTTAAATTTTTCTTCAACACATTGGATATTTGTCTATCTAAATTTTTGCTGTTTCTTTTAATCTTTGAACTTTGAATAAGTTCTTGCTCTCAGCACCAATAAGAAATTTAATTCTTTAACATTTTCGTGCTTGTTTATGTATTAGAGTTTGTAATTAAGGCGTTTGATTATTGAAATACGTGTTTATATTTATCTTTTCGTCTTTACACCATGCAAGAATAATTGTGTAGATCAAATCTCATAATTGGGACGACATTTATGCAGATGCTTATGATGCACTTGATCCTGATGGAAATATTACTGTTAAATGGGATATTATAAGCTGGACTTCAGATGGATACATTGTAAGTTTACATTATTTCCCTTTAAAGAATTCTGTTTGAACTTTAATGCAAGAGATTATTCTTTGTGATGTGTTGCTCGACACAATCCAAGAGGCCAAGAAATATACTGGAAAAAGGTAACGGTTTTAGATAAGCTTTTATGAAGATCGATCTCTCCGTTACTCCTTCAGCATCACTATAAGCTCGTTTTGTCTTACAAATATAAGCCGATTATGGGAAACACCTCATCGAAAACCTAAGCTATTAGATTAGTTTTCAAAATGTCCCTTCACATGCTGACTAGATTCCTTCAACAAAAGCCTCATATATGCACAATTTTCTCAAATGAGAGGTTTTAGACTTGAACCAAGAATCTTTGTATGCTTTGATACGATATTGAACCACGTCGATAACGTATTTATTTACCCTTTTAAGTCTTTAAACATGTTGTTATATTAGCTTTGGTGGATGCGATATGCAATCTCTATTTGGTTGGAGTACAAGAGTACACCTACTCTAAAAAGACAAATGAGACTTAACTTTTTTGCCTTTCTTAATCTTGTCGAGTGTTGTTCAATGCAATATATTATGATGCTAGATAGCATATAGTAGAGACGGTCGCTGAATTTCTTTGCTTTGCAATGCTGCAGGCTGTTGTTACAATCTTTAACTTTCAGAAATATCGACACATTCAAGCACCAGGATGGAAATTGGGTTGGACATGGGCCAAGCAAGAGGTGATTTGGAGAATGGTCGGAGGTCAAACTACAGAGCAAGGAGATTGTTCAAAATTCAAAGGGGAAATCCCTCATTGCTGTAAAAAGGATCCCACAGTTGTGGATTTGTTGCCTGGAACTCCTTATAATCAACAGATTGCAAATTGTTGCAGAGGGGGCGTTATAAGTTCTTGGGTCCAAGATAAAGGAAATGCAATGAGTGCATTCCAAATAACTGTTGGTCAAGCTGGAACGAGCAATAAAACTGTCCGAGTGCCTAAGAAATTTACCCTGAAAGCACCGGGGCCAGGATACACTTGTGGACCTGCTAAAATTGTGAAGCAGAGCAAATTTATAATGCCTGATAAAAGGAGAGCAACTCAAGCTCTTAGTAAGTTACTTTGACTAAGCATTTGTAAAAACTTACCTTTGCATTGTGTTTTTGCTTTCTATTTACATTGAATGAGAAAAGAGAATAAGGCTCAAGTAGAATAGAGTTAGGGCATTTTCCCAAGTAGAAGGTATTTTGTCAAGTAGTTGAGCTCGGCACAGTTTTGCAGACCCTAGAACATACCTATCTAGCTCAGAGGAGTCCCTTTCACCAGCTATGAGCCATATATATCAGATGTTGGTATAATAGTTCATTGACTGTTTTCTGATCTCTTTCAAAATCTTCCTTGATTATGTGGTTAAGAACTTATCGTTCAATAAAAAGTGCGATCTATGCTTCGACTTAAGTTGATTAATGTTGAATTAAATGCTTGTATCTTCTGGTTTCAGTTTGCATTTTTGTTTTTTATTCTCTCTAAAGATTGCTTTTACAACTTTAATCTCAGTGACGTGGAACATTACTTGCACGTATTCGCAATTCCTGGCTCAAAAAGCACCCACCTGCTGCGTCTCACTCTCCTCCTTTTACAACGACACAATTGTGAATTGTCCGGCTTGCACTTGTGGCTGTCGGAACAGTTTGATACAGCCAGGGACCTGTGTAGAGTAAGAAACCTTTTTCTCTTTCTCGAGTCAAGTACATTTTCATTGCAGTATTAAGGAAACTTCTTATCGTACAGTTTGGATTCTCCGCACTGGGCGTCAGCTCTTTCAAGTTCACGAAAGAACAGTGACACACCTCTCGTCCGGTGCACTAGCCATATGTGCCCTATCCGAGTCCACTGGCATGTCAAGCTTAACTACAAAGAGTATTGGCGGGTGAAAATCACGATAACTAATTTTAACTACAGAAAGAACTATACGCAGTGGAATCTTGTTGCACAACATCCCAACTTCGACAATCTCACTCAGACATTCAGCTTTAACTACAAGGCATTAACATCATATGGTTCCATAAGTAGGTAACCATTTCTTACGTGTCTATGTATACCACGTGTTGGGAAAAACTCGTATATTTCACCAAAAGAGGGAAAATGTACGCATTTTTCCTTACACTATCGAGATATATGTACTCTTCTAACTATATATTGTGTTGTTTTGAATGAATTGTATGTTGCATAGATGATACGGCCATGTTATGGGGAGTCAAATATTATAACGACTTACTCATGCAAGCCGGTCCCTATGGAAGTGTGCAATCAGAGCTGCTCTTTCAAAAGGACAAAACGACATTTACTTTCAAAGAGGGATGGGCGTTTCCACGCAGGATATACTTCAATGGGGACGACTGTGTCATGCCGCCTCCAGATGCTTACCCTTATCTACCGAGTGCTAGTTCCCACATGGTTATTCCTATGTGTAATTTACTAACTATTTTGACATCTCTAGTTCTTTTAGTGGCGTATCACTAGCAAAATTGAGTGCAAGAAAGCAAGACGAGCCACTGAAGACTTTATTATTTCCTCCGGAGGAAACAAATCCTCCATTTTGTTATTTGATTGAGGAGTGAATTCTCGCTGGGAAGCTTCAAAAAATGAGTGGATTAAGGTGCATTTGTTGCTGGTATATTGCTTTAACTTATTATATATGTATTGTAATGCCCAAAGGGAAAAAATAACATTTGAAGGCATGCATCTACATATTCATTGTAGATGTTATGTGCCCCATTATTTGTGAGTAATGTATTATGAAATAGTGATTAATGTGAAATATGTGGTTTAAAAAAGGAAACGTTTTTTATTTACGTGTAATATTGTTTTAATAAAGAATGTATGGTTGAAAATAAATATTGTAAAAAAAATAATGTGGTAGAATGTAGAAGAATAGACAAACAAGGCCTATTATGTATATTTTGGTAATTTTTGCTTGTCTGATTAGTCTGCTAAGTAGCATGAAAGATACATACAAATCGTTGGATGAAGTGCAATGTTCATATTGACCCCTGAAATAAAAGGGTAGGTACAACTAGTTCGTGAACAGTCAACCATTGCACTTTGAAAATTGGATAGCTTCGATCTAAGCTTACTAATCCTAAAAGGATCTATCAAATTCATCGAGTTATGCCAAAGAATCAAAACAGTCAATTAATGAGTCAGCTCTCTATAAAATACTCGTTTGGCTGAGAGCTTCCAAACCTATACTAGAAAAGGAATCAAACTCTTCTTGATGATTTTATGAAAAGGAAGATTACAATGATAATATCATGCTATTTGGTACAATCATAGTGCCCATTGTGCTACAAGAGATTTAGGGTCCGTTTGATTGTAAGGATGGAATTTGGGTGGAAAGAAAACGAATTTTAGGGAATTAGATTGTGTAGAAATTATTTTTCTGGGAATTGTAAATTATTGTGTTTGATTGATATAATTTTTCACGTGAAATTTTTTGAAATAAAAGTATTTTTTGACGTTTGTTTGACTTTATTTTACAAGAAAATTGTTAAAGATATAAAATTTACTGGTATTGGGGATAGAATTTGTTTCCATTGAAAAAAAAATCAAAAAAATCATCTATTTTTTGGTATTTGTTTGACTTTGTTTTACATGAAAATTGTCAATTAAAGGAAAATAATTTTTTTACAATTAGGCATAAAAGAAAAAAAAAAAAGTTGCCGAGAATTTCAATTCTCACCAAATCCATAAGAATTGGAATTCCTCAAAAATCTGGAATTCAGTTGCGCGATTGGAAACCTTGGAAATTGAATTCCATGGTAAAAAAATCCAATCAAATAGTGCAAAATGTGGAAAGTGGAATTGATGGTCAATCAAACAAAGCCTTAGTGTTGATAAAAGTAGGGCATATTAAAAAATAAGTTAAAATCTTATCCATTATATTGTCTATAATTGTAATCAAGCATGCTCTTGTGACTCAATTGAGAACATAAACATGAGCATGTATTTTGGCATTGGCACATGCAATTGACATGGGTGAGGAAAACAAGTATTTAATACAAGCACAATGTGAATTGTGTTACTCTAACACACTTGAGAATTTGTCGAGAACATAAAATGAGAATGATGAAAAAAATTAGATGAGAAGGAAAACAAAAGAGCTTGAATATCTTAGCTGCTAGGAATTGTGAATAAGTGCACGTCCCTGAATAAAATTAATTAATTATATATATATTGATTTCTCAAGGACACATGATGAGCCTCACACTGTCCAAAAGGAAACAGTGTTAGAAGAAACAAGAAGAATATGGTCAAAAACATTGGTGGTCTTGAACTCTAAGCGATGTTTTATATCGGTCACTAAATGTAACGCTCCAGCTTCTGTGCCTAAATCGTGAAGGTAAGTGGGTAGATGTCCATCAAAAACGGATAATACGTATGATATAATGAATTGGACATATGGGCTAAATCGTTACAAAATTGGTACCATAATTCAACTTAAGTCTTACTTAAGGAAATGTCATGGGTTCGAATCTTGAGGACGCGATAGAAATTAATGAAGAGTACGATCAGCTCAAGTTCTCCCAAAACGGACAATACGTACGATATAATAACTTGGGCATGAGGCTCGGGTCATTACATTAAACTTCATTTTATTTCAAGTTGATCATGTCGACCTATGATTGACTTCTCATTTTGATTATAACAAACAAATTATATTTAACAATTGTATTTGAGTGATTATAGAAGTTATGACAAGCGTGGACAAAAGGATGCTTTCAAAGTTTTCACAAATTGGACAAAATAGAAGCCGAGCTACATATCAATAAAACAAGCACTTCATCAAGTTAACCAAAGAAGAAATTAGATTTCGACACCTTGATTTCAAATGTTAAGGTAAAACACTTTAGTATTTGGCAAACACATCATTTGAAGCTCAAGAAATGTTTCTTCGCACGACAAGCACGATTTTTGCATAAAGAATTTTTTAAAGCATGAACCTATTATATACTTTAAGAAATATCAAAAAGTCTGTAAAATATGTTAGAAACATCCTTCATGAAATTATATCTTGTTAAAATATTTAAAGAACGAAAATTTCTAACAGCCAGACATGAACCGACCTAGAGGACGCATCCGGTAGCTAGCGGACGCGTCCGGTATGTCAAGTTTGTCCAGCGGTCAAGAAATTAAACGTTCTGACTTCTGAAAAAATGGTTATTTGACCGTCCGGTAAGCTAACGGATCGTCTGATAGGACATAACTTTGATCGTTTTGCTGTTATTAATACCAGATCATTTTGCATTCAAAGATGAACTTTTATGAGCAATAAAGTGAGATATTACTGATCTATCTACTCAATCATTTTTCAATATCTGTCTTTTCAACTCATTTAAATTAGAAAAACTTTTGATTGATTCAATCTTTGAAAATCACTTTATTAAAGTTTTCTTATCTAACACTTGAGCTTCAATCATTGCTATTTACTAAAGTGTTAGCCATATTCTCTTATTGTACTAAACTTCAAATATATCATTCATTATAAGAGAAGTCTTTATTTGTGTAATCTTTATTTTCAAACTTGTGGGTCGAGTTGAAGTCCCGAAAATTTCAACATTATAAAAGGAACGGTGCTCCTTGGTTTTAAATCACTGGAAGAGTTGTAAGAAGGTTAGACTACACCATAAGTCAATCAATATAGTAAAAAAGGCATTGCTCGTGACGGATAGCTTGGTAACGAGAGACGTAGATCATTGCATTGGATCGAACCTCCATATCATATCGTTTGACTTCTCTTTCATTTTACTTATCTTTGTTTTTATTTATTACTTGTGATTTTATCCTAGTCTTTGTTCTTTTTCATATTTATGAATATTTGATTAATTGTTACATTTAAGTGAGCATTAATTGTATACTTAAAACTATTTTTCGAAAAAGTTTCTATAACTAATTCACCCCCTCTTGGTTAGTTAGTATTGGGCTTTCAATTGGTATCAAAGCAAGGTACTCACTTTCTTAGACTTCACAATCTAGAGTAAATGGCTAACCAAATGTTTCAATCTCTTGAAGGCCACTCTACCAATCGAACTCCTTTCTTTGATGAAACATATTATAATTATTGGAAGGCTAGAATGATGATTTACATTCAATTCATATATTACAACATTTGGGAAGTGATTGAATATGGGCCTTATAAACCTACTAAGGCTATTAGGGGAGATGGCCAACCTGACCAAGTTATTCCCAAATCTAGGAAGAATATGATGAAGAAGATAAGAGAAAATTATCGTTGAATGCAAAAGCTAATAATCTTCTTTATTGTGCATTAGACAAAAATGAATTCAATCGCATTAGCACATGTGATTCCGCATATGATATTTGACATGTATTAGAAGTCACTCATGTAGGCACTAGCAAAGTCAAAAAAACAAAGATTAATCTCTTAGTTAAGGAATTTGAAAATTTCTTCATGAAACAAAATGAACTTATTATTGATATGATTACCGATATTGTAAATGGTCTCAAAGGTTTTGATTGCAAATTTACTAAAGGTGAACTTATAAGTAAAATGCTTAGGTTATTATTAGAAGATTGGAGCCCATTGAGAATGTTGATAGAAAACACCAAAGATATCAACACATATCCATTGGAAGAACAATATGGGACAATAATGACCTATAAAATTAACAATGCCAAAATCAAAGAAAAGACAAGGAAAAGCAAAAAAGGATCCAAAAAGTCTTCAAAACGCCAAATTGCTCTCAAATGGGCAATTGATGAAGGTGCGTCCAATGAAAATTCAAGTGATGAAGAATTGGATGATTTAGTTCTTCTTGTCGAAAATTGGAAATTTTTTTTGAAACAATTGAAAATTTCAAAAGAAGGAAGAAAAGGAATAGGAGAAGAACAAGAAAATCATTTGCTATGATTGTAAAAAACCCGGATACAAAAGAACCGAATGTCCCAATAAGAAGAAAAATTTCAAAAAGAATGAACTTCAAGCTACATGAGATGATAGTGGCTACGATGATCAAAATGAAAATAGTGGCCAAGACGAAATTGCCAACATGTGCTTCATGCCTATTGAGGAAGAGGTAAGCCCTATAGAAAAACTTTCATTTGTAGAATTATTGGCTTGTTATGATGAAATGCTTGAAAATTTTGAAAAACTTGCCAGAAGTCATTCTATGCTCAAAAAGAAAATCTCTTTATTAAAAGATAAAATAAAGAAACTTTTTGAAAATCAAAACGAAAATAATAAATATGATTGTTTAATGAAGGAAAATCACCTTCTTAAAGAAAAGGTAGATGATTTGACAAAAATTGTTCACAAGTTCACATAAGGGAAGAAAAATTTCGACTTCATGCTTGGGGATAAAAAATGTGTTTTCGACAAAGGAGTATTGGGCTACAAACCATCCTTAAAGCAAAAATCTCTTGAGAAAATATTTGTTAAATCTTCAAAAACTATTACTTCTAAGATTACATGTAGTTTAAAGATTGGACATGTTCCATATAATTGTCTTGCTAAGAAAAGACTATATTTTGAAAATAAGCATAAGTGGATTCAAGATTCCACAAAAACTAACTATCAAGGACCCAAATTAATATGGGTACCAAAAGTGAAAAATTGAAATAATTTTTGTAGGTACCAACAAAAATTCGTAGCAAATGGTTATTGGATAGTGGGCGTTCAAAACACATGGCCGGAGACAAATCATTACTATGTAATTTCAAGAAGAAAGATAGAGGTCATGTGACGTTTGGAGATAATGCCAAAGGAAAAATAATTGGTATTGGAAATATTGGTAACTATCATTCTCCTTCTA